ATTTCTGCCCAGCAGCCCACAGGTACCAACTGCTCTGCACTGAGTCTGTCTCATTTAAATAAAAACAAAATTAAAAAGCCAAATCCTGGATCTGCATTTCAATGCAAAGGGCGATTGAGCCCTAGAAGTGTAAATGGAAATCTTTTCTGATCAGTTCTAAGCAGAAATACTGTTGCTCCTCAGCACATCCAAACCCTTATCCCCACTGAGAGCTGCCTGCCAGCCTGGACACGATCCTGCCTTTCTCAGGGCTGGGTCCTGGCATTCACCATGACTTTGATTTGTACATAAAATATCCCATCAGGCTCAGCTGGACATTTAAATAAAGCTCATGCTGTTCCCCCTGTACCTGCAGTTGTTCCTCAGGTAAATCCAAGATGTTAAAGTTTGATTTCTGCCACAGAAAATAAAAGAAACCCCAGAGCATTCCCTCCTGGTTTCTGATTAAACAAAACTAAGTTGTTACAGCTGAAGGCATTCATTTTCTGACTAAATATTTAAATTGGTAATTAATATCCATCCCTTTGGTGGGAAAAGAGCTGTTTGCCAGAGTTTCCCAGAGTGAATGGGACAAACAAACTTACCAGAGTTTGGAAAACAAGAGGCTTAAATCTGTTTATTTCCCACTAAACATTTTGCAACGCTGCTGACAAGAAGCAGCCAGAGGAGCAGTCAGAGAAGGAGAGAAGCAGTCAGAGGAGCAGAGAAGCAGCCAGAGGAGCAGAGAAGCAGAGGAGCAGTCAGAGGAGCAGTCAGAGGAGCAGTCAGAGGAGCAGTCAGAGGAGCAGAGAAGCAGCCAGAGAAGCAGCCAGAGGAGCAGTCGGAGCAGAGAAGCAGTCAGAGGAGCAGCCAGAGGAGCAGAGAAGCAGTCAGAGAAGCAGAGGAGCAGTCAGAGGAGCAGCCAGAGGAGCAGTCAGCTCGGAGCACTGTCCCAGAGGAAATCAAACTAGCCAGGATTGCTGGCACAGCCCTGCTGCGGGGTTTAAGCAGAGCCTGGCACGGCAGGAGGTGCCCAGGGCTCGATCTTTGGGCAGGGAGGCCGCGGGAGCTGCAGCCGTGCCCGGCAGAGCCCGGGTCACAGCAGAGCCGATCTGCAGCGGGGAGTGCGGCTAAGCCGGGCTGGGCAGCTGGGGCTGCAGCCAAGGCCAGCAGCAGGGACACTGCTGACACTGCTGACACTGGCACTGGCACTGGCACTGGCACTGGCACCCTCCGAGCCCCCAGGTTGAGCAAGGACGGGCACCGAGTGCCCCCGGCCCCGCTGCGGCCACCCGGGCACGGAGCCCCTCTCCAGTCACAGCCCCTGTGCCCACGGGGAACCTGGGCAAAGCAGAAGTGTGGCTGTAATTGGGATTAATCTATTTTTAGCAGGCTGTCTGCTGCCCTGTCCACGCTCCAGCTGAGATATTTAATTCTGTCCAGCTCGACTCTTTCTGCAGTGGCACCCAGGACTGTTTTTTCTTTCCTTACAAACCTTCAATTTGTTGTTTTGTTTTTTTTTTTAATTCATTGTTATTCCTTGTTTTGTTTTTTTTAAAAAATCTTTCCCCCCCCCCCCCCCACATACAATAACTGGAAAATCCAGCACTGAAGCAATACAAATGTTGCTGTATTAAAAAAAAAAAAAAAAAAAAAAAAAAAAAAAAGTTATACAACGTTTACTATCATTATTATTCATTTTACTATGGAGTTTGGAAACCTCGTCATAGATCAGGAATGTGTTGTACCCTGCGCTGCACAAACAGCACAGAAGGAAAATTGCCTCTTCCAAGCTATATTGGATAAAAACGCACAGTGATACCAAAAGGATTTTGGTTAAACAGCAGCAGGACAAGATGTTAAAGCCATCTCTGAGCACCTCACCATTTACTGACCCCGCATTTAAATACCTGCCGTTCGTATCTTTAACCTTTTATGAGGTATTTGCAAAGGGAACTTCGAGATTAGCACTTGGGAAAACACCCTGGAACACAGCTGGACCGACATCAAGAGGCTCCTCCGGCCCGGGAATGTTTGCCTTTCCCAGATCCTCCCGCCCGTGCCAGGGCAGGACCCGCTGCCCGGGGATCGGTGCCTTCAGCAGAGCACGGGGCAGCTCCTTGGGCTTTTCCTGCCCATTGGGAAGATGCTCCGCAGGGAAAACCAGGCACCCGTGCCGAGAGCTGCCCTGCAAACCCAGCCCGGGGCCGGTTCTGTGGGGTTTGGACCCTGCTGGGTTCGGACCCTGCTGGGTTCGGACCCTGCTCGGGTTTAGACCCTGCTCAGTTTGGACCCTGCTCGGTTCAGACCCTGCTGGGTTGCCCGGTTTGGACCTGCCCGGTTCGGACCCTGCCCGGTTCGGACCCTGCTGGGTTTGAACTCTGCTCAGTTCGGACCTTGCTCGGCTCGGACCCTGCTCAGTTCGGATCCTACTCGGATCAGACCCTGCTGGGTTGCCCAGTTCGGACCCTGCCCGGTTCGGACCTGCCCGGTTCGGACCCTGCTCGGGTTTAGACCCTGCTCAGTTTGGACCCTCCCCGGTTCGGACCTCTCCGGTTCGGACCCTGCCCGGTTCGGGCCTGCCCGGTTCGGACCCTGCTGGGTTCGGACCCTGCCCGGCTCGGACCCTGCTGGGTTCGGACCCTGCCCGGTTCGGACCTGCCCGGTTCGGACCCTGCCCGCCCCAGCTGTGCCGTGCCGGGCCGGGGTGACTCACGGAGCTGCGGGTGCTGAGCTGGAGCGCGGCTATTTCCGTGCTCCCCCTGCAATCCCTGCTCCTCCGGCTGCGCTGTCAGGCACCTCAGCACCCCCGCCGCCTCTATTCTTAGCAGCTAATAGCTGAAATAATTCCTTTTGTCTCCGCGCTGTTGGCTCCTTGCTTTCGCTGCCCCCACAGCCGCTGCCAGCGCGGGGAGGGCGGCCGGGGGTCCCGGGGATGGGGGCGGTGTCCTTGTGCCCACCGGGAATTCTGGTGTGGGCTGAGCATCCCAAATACCCCGGCCCCGACTCCAACACGAAGCGGTGCTTTGAGGCAGCCGGGATGTAAATGCGGTGCCACCTCTTTGAAAAGGATCCTGGCTCTTCCAGCTGGGTTTCTTAGATTTCACCGGAAAAATTCCAGGTTTTCAGAGGGAGGGCCAGGTTTTCACCTGCGGGCTCTCATTTCAGTGCCTGCTCTGCGCCGTGGGCTGGGTTCGCACCGAGAATGCAAACGCTCCATGCAAATGCGAGTCCCCAATGCCAGCACAGCCGTGCCAGCACATCCCCGACAGCGCCCGGGAGCGAGCCCGCACCTCTGGCAGTGCCGGCAGATCGCAGCACCAGCTGTTCCACACAATTCCCTTGAACCACCTCCCGAGGGGCACCGAGAGCCCCCCGCCCCGCTCTTTGTGGGGCTGTCAGCTGTGCACACCCAAACAGACGCACGGAATTGGCTTTGGAACTGTCTGGGAAGGGGTTTGTTGCTCTTTATCTGCCTGCTGCTCTTCCTCCCGCCGCTTGGGACCCCAGGGAAAGCAGCAGAGTGTTCCAAACGGAACAGGGTGCCCAGAGCACCCCTGGATCCCTGCAAGTGTCCAAGGCCAGGCTGGATGGGGCTTGGAGCACCCTGAGGCAGTGGGAGGTGTCCCTGCCTATGGCAGGGGGTGGCACTGGATGGGCTTTAAGGTCCCTTCTAACCCAAACCATTCTGTGATTCTGCTGGGCTGGTGAAGAAAGGACTCACTGGCCAATTCTCTGGAATTCACTAAAGAAGCTTGTCTGGAAAACAATAAACCTTTTGGAAAGAAATGAAACCTGAATATTTGTTGTGACTGTCCCTCACTGAGGCTGTGTTTGTAAGGATGAAGTATCACTGGCAAATCCAACAAGAGCTACCCCACACCAGCACTTGAAAAACCGACTATTCTGCATTTTAAAGCAGCTTTTAAGCCTCTGGCTTGGTAAAGTGAAGAAACTTTTCCACTGCCCCGTCCACCTTTGCCCGATTCTTTGCTCCTTCCGCTGGTGCCCAGCCCCTCCCGCGGGGATGTGCCAAGCCTCCCCTTCCACGGCTGAGGTCGAGGGGTTACAGATTTACAGCTGCCCAGACTTGCTCCAGCCCGGGCAGGAATTCGCTTGGCATAAACGAGGCCTTTGGATTATTTATCTCAGCCTTTCAGTGAAACAGGAACATGCCCTGATTTTAACAATCGTGCTTCCTGCGCTGGGGGAAGGTGTGGCCGATGGCATTTAAACCGAAACCCGAGCCAAGGCTTCCCCGGCAGGAAGCTGGAAGTGCGGGCAGGACCACGAGGGTTTCCTTCAGCACTCAAAACACCAAGGGCCTCCCTCAGGTCATTTTATCACGCCCAGCAGCAGTAATGATGTGCACAGGGTGAGATCTGGGGAGTGTCAGACTCCATTTGTTGTTGATATTAAGGTCATCGCAGCATGACGGCAGAAAATTGCACAGGAGACGCTGGAGAAGGGAGGATGAACCTTCAGGTACAGCCTGGCACAGAAGCAGGGCAAGCCCAAACTTCCTCTGGAAGCTGAGGAGTCGCTCCCTGATCCTTTCGTGGTGTTGAGGGAACTGCCAATGACAGCCTGGAGGGTCAATCCCCTCACTCCCTCCCTCCTCAAAAAATGGTATTTTCCCCAAATATCCAGCCTGAACCACCCCAGTTGCAAGTCCTGAAATCTTGTTAGAATGCTCAGCACTATAAAACTCTTAATTTTATTAATCAGCACTCTAAGCACTCAGGGCCCAGCTGTGATCAGCCATGGGGTCATCCCCAGTTTTGGAAGAGATTCCTACCTTGCCATTCCGACTGTGACACTGATCTCCCCTGTCTCACACCACAGCCATGGATTATTCCCATTTTCCAAGCCTCCTTTCTAGCCCAGGACTTTGCACACTCATAGGCAGTTCTTACAAAACCAAAGCTCTGCCTCCTACTTTTAAAGTCTGGAAGGAAAAGAAAAAAAGCTAAAAAAAAACCCAACCCAAACCAGTTTCCACACATGGAAATGGCCTCCAGTTAAACCAGAAAAGCAGCCTAGATTTTTATTGTGGAATGTCGAAGATGCTCAAACCAGAAAATGCCAAATCCTGCCCAAGAGTGTCAGAAAATGACTTTATGTTTTTAGGCCTCGTCACTCAGTTCTGAGGGCTGAAGTTTTCCATTGCCCCAAGATTTCTCACAGTTGATTTCTCACAGCTCTGAGCTCTTCTTGGGAGCCTGAGTGCCACCAGCAAGTACCTAGAGGCAGGCAAAGACAGAAACACACCAGGGCTGGTGATTTTCAAAGGAAAGCAAACCATAAAATAAACGCTGCATTTCCCCTGAAAGCAACCAGAAAGAGTCATTTGGGATAAATCAAAGTCGGTTTCACCTTCCTGACACAGCACAGGCCTGACAAAAGCAGTGTGAGCCGACAGCACCAGCGAACTGCCCTGTTTCTGAGGCTCCCAGCTTTCATCTGGTGTCTCATCTCGCTGTGTCACTTCTGGAGCTCCCTGATCTCGAGGTGGGCTCTGCCTGCCTGCACAGCCTGGTGCAAACCACCAGGGAGAAGAGGGAACACAGAAGATTCGCCCTGGCCCCGCGTGCTGGGGCTCCTGAGAGAATGGGGGTGACGGGAAGCAGCACAGGCAGCTCCAGTCTCAGCAGAGCCCGGCCTGCTTGGGGGGATGACTCATTTCAGGAGCCTGTGCTCGCTCCCAGTCATTAAGGAAGGAGTTAATCCCTGCAGCTTTGGCCACAAAGTGGATGTGTAAGGCCTGGAGTCCCATGGGCTCGATTGCATAAGAAACCATGTATTGTGGCATTTAGTTGATCATGCACTACTTCTTCTGGTCACATGGAGGCTTGATTTCCCCTTGCATCAGCTACTACAGACTTTTCACATTTCTCATGCTGGTGTCTGCTCAGTTCACCGGGGTCATCCCCTTCACCCCACGGCCGAGCCCCTGCTGCTCACCCAGCCCTGACCCAGGGGATCTCGCCCCATTTTTTGTAGGATCCTATCAGAGGAACCGGGCGCTTGTAATTTTTCTCATTTGTGCCTGTGCGTAACAGGTGTCATTTTCAGAGTAGTACAGACAAATCCCAAAATAGCTCAGGCTCTTCAGACGCTGCGAGGAGAAAAAAAACCCGTGGTTACTTCAGCTTTGGTTGTAGTGAAAAACCCAACGCTCGCAGCCGGCTCTGAAGTCAGAATTAAAATGGCAGACGGAGGAGTGGAGCAGGGATCTCTCTGCATTCCGTGTTTCCTGACGGACTGCTCCTCGCTGCTCTGTGTGTGCACATCAACTCCCTCTCAGTGCTGCCTCTCCATCAGCTTCCCTGATTCCCAGGAGCTGCACCTACCACGGATCCTCCTCCACACTTCCCGGTGCTGGCAGAGCTCTGCCTCCCCTGCCGGGTGCCGGGGCTGGCCGGAGGCACCAGAGTTATTGCAGGGATCTGGGGGGCAGAGGCGAGGAGAGAGCGTGCAGCTGCAAAAGGCTCCTTGCCTGGGGATGATGCCTGCTGTGCTGAAATGCAGAGCTGCCTGTGGACTGTCTTTGTCGGGGATTATTGGATTCTGGTGACTCCAGGAGCGCAGTTATTAGTTCCCCTGCCTACGCCGAGCGTTTTGAATCTGTGTGTGTGATAACACTTATTAATGCTGCTCAGATTAAGAAGATCTTGTGGCTTTCCAGCACTTCCAGCACCTTATCTCACGCCATGCATCTGCCCAGCAGCTAAACCACGCTCAGATCAGTGTCTTGTGGCCAGCAGAGCAGGGGCTTGTGGGGCCAGCAGTAGCCTCATGCCCAGAAGTCCTGCATCTGATCACAGCAGCAGCTCCTCTTAAGCTGCCTTGTGTTTTAGGGGATCTGCCTGCTGAGGATTTGCAGGACATGGGCCTAAAATATTTCATTTCAGGAAGTCAAGCAGTGGTTCCTGTCACCAAAACAGTTAATCAGAAAGCACCAACTCTCCACTGCAACGTGTGTGTGCGTGCACGTGTTTTTGTTTTTTAGAGCCAGCAAGATTTGCTTTGGTTTTTTTAAAGCAGAAAACACCAAAAAAGTTGGCTGTGGTTTCAGCTGCTATCGCTCGAGATTTGTACTGCTGACTACCAATGCTAAAAGAGTTAACCTGTATGTAAGTATGACTCAGAAGCAGAGAAGGAGATGCGAGGCTGAGAGCCGGGGAGGCAGCACAGAAACAGAGGTGAGGAACAGAATAATTGCCAAAAAAAGGTGCAGAGTCCAGGAGCGACGCTCCCTCCGGTCTGCCTGGCCCTGGCACCGCTGGCACGGGCTCCCTGGAAAGCTGCAGTTCCGCTCTTATAACACAAGGAGCAGGCTGGAGAATTTAGAGCTGCGTCACAGAGCTCAGAGAGAGAGTGAGAGAGCAAGCTCCGTCGATAGGTCTACCAGCAACAGCCCTGCTGCAGCAAGAGGGGAGAGAGGCAGCAAGAGAGGCAGAGAGGGCTCCAGGAAGAGAAGTGGCACCAACACCACGGACTGGGCTCCTGCCACCATCCACTGCCATTTGCACCTCGTCCTGGGGCTCGCTTGGCGTAGGAGGCTTCGCCCATTGACGATGCTGGAGACCCGGCGCGCTTAATCCCACGGGGAGGGAGAGTGGGCAGACACCGAAAGGGTTAACGGGAAGGAAATTTCTGGAACCTTCTCTTCTGCGGCGCTCCAGAGCGAGCGGAGGGCTGAGGACTGCGCAGATGGTGCACGGGCACGGCTCCTCGGTCCGGTTCGTCTCCCTCACGTACGTACCCTTTGATCAGGATGGGGCTGGAGCTGCAGCTACGTATTTGGATTATTTGCAGGGCGTCCCTTTCCCCCGGCGTCCCTGAGTTCGGATCCCAAAGTGCCTTTATTATTATTTTGGCTGGGTAGGATTGCTCTGTTCTGCGTCAGAGCTGTTTTCTCAATGGAGCGACGGCACAGGTTGTACTAATGTCACTCCTGCCGGCATTGCTGTACTGCAGAGGAGGGTAGTAGTCGTGGGGGAGAGATGACAACTTTGCAAAGACTGCTGTTTTCCCGGTTTGGCTGGGCTTTCTATCCCCCCCCGTGTCCCTGGAGGCTGGCATGTCGGCACGGGGCTGGTGCAGGGGTTAACAGGCGCCCTGCGATTCGGAGCTCGCAGGTTTGTCACTGCGTAGTTCGCAAAGTGGCAAACGGTGACGCAGTGATCATTGCAGGGCACGTCGTCCAGTTTTTAAAAGCACTGGGGACAGGTAGACGGGTGCCTTCCAGACGCTTCCACACCAGCTGAAAGGGGTTAAAGATGAGTCGAGCCGGGAAGCCAGCATTTAGGGATTAAATGTCATCATTTTGGCGTTGGAAAGTTGTTTACCTTGCTCTCTCGGTGTCTCCATGCTGGCAGGCGGCCAGCTCACATGTGATAGTCTTCCCTGGACTGCTGCATCATTAACGAGAGCCAGCGCCGGCTCCCATTGGCCGGGGAGGGCGCAGCGCCGGGGCCGCGCCGCCATTGGGCGCGCCGGGGATGGCAGGTGGAGCGCCCGAGCCCATTGGCCGTGCGCGGGTGTCAGCGGAGCGGGCACGGAGCGGGGCTGCCGTGCCCTCTGACACTGCCCGCTCCTATTCCCTGCCTGCCCACTGCCTGCTCCCTGCCCTGCTCCCTGTTCCCTGCCTGCGGGTGTCAGCGGAGCGGGCAGCGAGCGGGGCTGCCGTGCGCTCTGACACTGCCTGCCGCTGGCACTGCCGCTGACACTGCCCGCTCCCTGCTTCTATTCCCTGTTTCTATTCCCTGCTTCTATTCCCTGCCTGCTCACTGCCCGCGGGTGTCAGTGGAGCGGGCAGCGAGCAGGGCTGCCTCTGCCCTCTGCTCACTGCTCGCTGCCGACTGCCTGCTCCCTATTCCCTGCCTGCTCCCTATTCCCTGCCTGCTCCCTGCCCTGCTCCCTATTCCCTGCCCACTGGTGTCAGTGGAGTGGGCAAGCAAGCACGGCTCCCTCTGCCCGCTCCCTGCTTCTATTCCCTGCCCGCTCCCTGCCCGCGGGTGTCAGTGGCGTGGCCATGCAAGCAGGGCTGTCCCCTGCCCACTGCCTGCTTCCTATTCCCTGCCTGCTCATGTCAGAAGAGCAGCCCTGAGAGCGCTGGGCTCCTGCCCTCTGCCTAAGGCCCTGCTCCTTATTCCCTGTTCCCTGCCTGCTCCCCCTCCCTGCCTGTGGGTATCAGCAGAGCAGCCCTGTGAGCACTGGGCTGCCTCTGCCTGAACGTTGATCCCAGCACTCCGAGTACCAGCAGCTGCCCCTGTCCCACTCCCTGCCTGCTCGTTGTCTGTTCCCCCTGCTCCCTGCCCAATCCCTACCTTCTCCCTGCCCATTCCTTAGCATGCTCCATGACTGTTCCCTGCCTGCTGCTCCCTGCCCAATTGCTGCCCATTGCTGGCTGCTCCCACCTCCCTTCCCACTCCTGCTCCCTGCCCACTCTCTGCCCGCTCTCGCTCCATGCTCACCTCTGACCCCAGGATGCCAGATGTCCCTCGGGCAGGAGGCAGGACAGGAGCTGGTCACTGCTGGCTCTGCTGGGTGCAGTCCTTCACCCATGGGTGCTCCCAGGAGGTCTCGTTTCGCCATCCACTTGCAATGATGACGTGTCAGAGCTGCAGCCCATGGTGCAGGGGAAAGTACTGGGGTTCAGGGCTTTTCTCCTTGCTTCCTTCTCCCTTGTGAGATGCTGGAGTGTTGGCAGCACTGTGAACTGCTTGGGGCAGGGATTGCACCTGGAAATTATGTCGTGGGAATAGTTAAAGAAATGAAAACGACTCTTGCCCAAACTCAGCTTTTGTTTGCACAAGTGTGAGTGTGTCACAGGCTCGGTAACATCACAGAGAGATGGAGACTGCCCTCAGTGATGGGTCTGTAAAGGTTTGCAAAGGGATAACAGTGTTAGAAAGCAAGGACGGAAGGACTGGGAACTGGTTAAGGATGAATGGGAGACTGAGAGCAGAGACCAGCTCCAGAGAGAGGGTAAGGAAGTGAAAGGGAGAACACTTTTCCCTCTTAACCGTTTACTATACTATTTTTTCACCTCTCTTCTTAAAGCGCCCAGCAATGAAGATGGCAGCTCTGCCTGGAAGTGCTGAGGACACAGCCAGCCTTGAGCTTGGTCCTTCTGGCCGAGGAAGTCTCCCGATTATGCAGTGGAGTGGTAACTTTACTTTCTCATACAACAGGGGCCATTATTCCATAGCCTTTCATCATTCTGAGCTTACCCAAGTTTCAGGATGTGCTAGCAGGAGTGTTTAATCTCTGTTACTCACTGGCTGACATCTCCAGCATCAGGGTTGGTTGTTTAGCAACAATCGCTGGGCTCAGGCACCGCGTGGCCGCCGTCCCCATCGCCTGGGCTGCAGCCTGGGCTCTGCAGGGTGCTCTGGGAGACAGGGAGAGAGGGCAGGGCTGGATTTACACCCCAGACAGAATTTTGGAGGTTCGGTCGCGCAGGCCGCAGGCGCTGCGGATTTTTCGCGACGCCGTCCTTTGCGCAGGGCCGCCATTTCCAACGGCAGTGCGGCACAGGGACGGGGAGGGAAGAGCCCGACAGACTGTACGTGCCACTCCCCACTTTCTTTCCCTCTTTCCCATCTCCATCTTTCCTCCTTCCCCTCCTTTCCTGCCAGATTCCATAGGGAATTTCAGCCTCTTACTGCAGTCATCACAACCCCTCCTGACTCACTGAGTCTTCGCTGGCTGTAGCTGGCTCCCTCAGAGCATCCTTGCCTCCCGCAGCGCCAGATCTGCAGAGCAGGGCAACAACAGCCACAGCAGAGACAATGGTGGCCCCTGCAGACAGACAGACAGGCATAAATACACACACACACATGAGAACAGTCCCAGGCAGCTGTGGAGGGGGTTCTGTATGGCCAGGAGCTGGACTAAGGCATGATGCTGGGTTGTGTGGATGATAGGTGGGTTGAGTCTGTTTTCTCGAGTGTTGGTTGCATGGACAGCTCTTTGTGGTTTTCCCCATCATGGCTGTGGGGTGGAGAAGCCCTGACTTTGTAAAGCTGGTGCTGTTTCATGGCTTTCAAGGAGGTGCCACTGGCTGCTGAATGTGTTCAGCACAAGGATGTATTTGGTTTAATTCTTTTTGCCATCGTGTTTTGGCCGTAGCGATTGTTTAACTGTGCCTAAACGCAGGGAGGGTAAGGAGACGGATAAAAGAGGAGTTATTTCAATGTTAAACTCCAGCTGTAAATCTCATTACTCAGGAATTGAGGTTACTGTCAGCAGGTAAATCTGTGGGACTGGCAGGAAACAAGGCTAAGAAGGGGACATGGCATATTTCTGTAGGACAGCAGTGATTGTGTGCACAGGGGTGGCACCGTCACCGTGAGCTGTACCTGGGTAACTGTTCTGCGATCGTTTTCCGCACAGTGCTGCAAAAGGACTGGGGAAAGCTGTGATTTCTCCCTCCCTCTGACACTTGTGTGTGTGACACTGTATGAGCTGATTCATTTTCCTGTATCTGGGTTTCCCTGCTCTGGGGAGTGGGGTTTGCTCTGCCTCGGCCTTGGTGCAGCATCGTGACGCAGCGTTCGGTACCACGCCGACAAAACACACGCAGTTTTCTCGGGCGTTCTGACCGCTCGGGGACCACGGGCTTTGGGGAAGGAAGGGCAGGATTTCACATGCCCATGATATAAATTTAAAAGCATTACCTCTTCTTGTCAGCCAGTGAAGGAAGGCTCTGTGAAGGACGAGACGGCCGTGATCTCCTCCTGCTCTTGTTTTGACGATGGTCATGTTACATCTGTGACGCAGACGAATTTTGCTGTTAGTTCCTGTCGGTGCTTTAGGGAGTGGAGCTGATGGGGGCACAAGCTTGAATATGGTTAGAAATATTCATTTCATACTGATGTTAGAGTTGAAACTACACCTGAAGGGTCAGGGGTATCAGGTCCACCTAGTGACCCCCCAAATGGTGAAGGAATTCAGATGAGCCCCAGCACCCCTGGCCATTTTGCTGCTCGCAGAGCAGGCTCAGAGCCTGCAGCTCTGCTGCTGCTGCTGTTCATTTCCATGTTATACAAATACAGCATTGGGCTCTGTGTCAGGAGCTTTCTGATGCTGTGAGAAGCTTAGAGTCTACAAGCAAATGTTTTTCTTTTCTTATTTGGGAACATTCATTAAAATGTCTAAATGCCAAGTGTTCTACCCTCTCTCCTCTGACAAATCTCTCCCAGACCCATCCAGAAAATTCAGTGCTGCTGCGTAGGATTTTTTTAAACTTTATCATGGTGTTTTCTTACAGTTTAATATGGGTATGGCTGGGGGGAAGAGTAAGATTTAATTTGGTTAAATATCTGTAATGCTGATGTTAATGGACAGGGATGTAGGCAAGAGATAAGAGTTGTCCATATCCCCTTTATCTCTGTATTTAAACAGTCCAAGCCCAGGCTGTGAGGAAAAAAGGGAATACTCTATCCCATTCCCACCCACCCAAACAATTTCAGTGCAAAGGCAGCAGGAGAAAAGGCCAAGCTGGAATGTCACAAAATGGTTCCACCAGCACTCAGAGATGCCAGTGCCGTTTATCCTGGCACGGCTCCGAGAGCGGCACCGTGAGCTGCCTGCTGCAAGGTCATTCCCCTGAGTCATGGTCAGCAACCAGTTGGTTCAGGAACTCCCAATCTACTCCTCTTGCAACTGTGCCCATGCCTGAACCTGGAGGGGAGGCTTGAGAATTAACATTACTGCAGCAGAGGGGGCACTGAGCCCAAAACTGTAGCTCCAAAAAAAATCCCATGTCTCTGAAAGATTTTAAAATCCATATCTGTAGTTTGTTTCTTTGCTAGCTCCAAAAACTTTCCACTAGTTCCCTCATCCCCTTTCCCCCCAAGACTTCCTCTGGACTGCTGGGAACCAGGAGTGCCATGTATTTAAGGGCTCAAACTCTGTTCTAGGAGGAAAACCTCCGTGTACATTTGCATTTCTGTGGCTATCAGGTGGGCTCTGCAGGCTCCCCAGAGCCTGTCAAGCCAGGGGTGTCTCTCAGGTGCTTTCAGTTTCAGGTACCTCAGCTCAGGAGCTGTCTTGTCCCCTCCCAGGTTTCCCCATTATTCCCTGGTGTTCCTATTTACCCATCTCACTTGTATTTTCAGTTGTCTCAGGACAACACCAGCCATGGACATGCTCAGGGCTGTCTCAGCCTCCCAGGCAGCAGAGCAGTGGTTAATGCCTGAGAGCAAAAGAACTTATTTAGTGCCCAAAGTTCAACCTGGGGGCACGTTCTGTGGACAGAGAGGGACAGGGGAGCAGAGCTGCCAGCCCACCTCCTGACCCTGCCCACCATGAGCCTTCGCCACCCTCATCATCACTGCCTGGTTTCCAAAGGGACAGAACCTGGCTGCCAATCCCGATGCCAGTGACGGCTCCTCGCCTACAGGGAGGCAGATGTGATGGCTCGTCTGCTAAAAACTGAGCCAACACACTGTGATTCAGCCCTCCAGCTTTCCAAGGAAGAGCTATTTCTGAGTGAGGCTCATCTCTGCAGCTCCCCCCACAAACACTCACGGCGCTCAGGAGCCCAACAGCAGCCCCTGGGTTTGCATTTGGATCTCCAGCCCAAAAGCTTCTTAAACACCGACTTGGACAGCGGCTCTTGGACACACGGTGATATTTCAGGGATGGAATGATGGAAACCCTGGGAACAGGGACAGACCAGGAGCTCGTGTGCCTGGGGGAGTCAGCCAGGAGTGTTTGGTCAGTGCTTTTCTCCAGCTGTTTTGTTTTGCCAGGTCCTTGTATTGCAGGCAGTGTTAAACTAAAGGCTTGCTTTCAGCTGTCTGGTTTAAAGGCAAGTTATACTTGAGTGAACATCTGGCTGGGTTGGTTTCCTTATGCTCCTCCCTGGCACAGGACATTCTTTTGTCTCTAGAATGACACAAAAGAAAAATATGGCTTCCCTTGCCATTACCTGGAGGAGCTGGAGCGGTGGTGTTGGGGGAACACCGTGTTCCTGAACTGACTGTACAAATCACAACAATCATCTCCCTGTGAGAGCATTCAAGCCCTGCAATCAGTACTTTACATTCTAAAGTGATGCTTAGGTACAGGAGTTAGGAATAGAAAATGGCCCTTCTGGTTGCAGCTGCTTGGGTGGATCATTTGTTTGAGTGGAATGAGTTTTGCAATGCGCTGCTCACTCAGGCTGTGTAGGGCTAAATTTGATGAGTTCTCTTTCCTACTGCCCTTCCCTGACCTCAGCCATGTAAGTGCAGTGCTCTTCTCGAGTTTGCCCAGTTTCACCTCACTGTTCCCTGTGAATTCTGGAATTCTCCACAGGATCCAGGGGTTCAGCAGCTCCTGTGCCCTCCAAACAGGCTCAGGGTTTGCCCAGGAACTCTCCTGAGAGCAAAGCTGGAGGAGAACTGGATGACTCCAGGCAAGTCAAAGCAATTTCAGAGGAGCAGGGGGGATCCCAAGATGGGGAACTACAGCACTAATATCTAAGCACACCTCTAATGGTCACCATGCTAAAACAGACACTGCAGAGTGCTCTGACAGATTCACTTTGACAGGAATTGAAATCAGCGACTCAAACCAAGCAGGCCTGACTGTCCCACTGCTCAGTTAAAAGGGACACAAAGCTGCACAGCCTTTTACCCCCATCCTGTCCCAGTGTTCAGCCTTCCTTGGAGTTTTGGGGGATTTCAGGCACCGAGTGTCTGGCTTTTAACTCCATTTGTACTGCAGTTGTAAGGCTGCAAGAGTAGGACTGAAGGAATAAGCTACCTTCAATTCAGGATTGTAATGTGGAGTTTTTATTGTGGCCTTAATAAAGGAAAAAAAATATCTCCCTTATGCTTCAAACTCGTGAAGGAAGTACCTGTTCTTGCTGCCCATAACAGCAGTGGCCTTTTCAGAGCCATCTCCTAGGCACAAATATCAATTTTCCTGAGCAGTGCAGCCCTGCTCTGCCTGCCCTCAGCCCAGGCTGGTGCTCTGACACACCAAGGGCTCCACACTGAGGACTGGCTCCCAGTGCAAGTCAGAGCACATTTGTCCACAGCTGACCCACGCAGCCCCAGACCTGCACAACAAAGAGATGCAGTTACAGGCTCCCCACGCTGAGGAGGCTTTTTTTGAAACCTTAGAAGTTCACTCATTTCCATTCCCCTTACAGGTCAGCACTTGTCCTGTCACACCCCTTGTCCTGCACCTGGCCCTGGGCTGATTCATTCCTTCACTGGGAGGATGATGCATCAAGCTCAGATTCTCAGCATGTAAAACAGGGATTATTTTCTCCAGGGGAGACCAGAGCCTGATGAACCACGAGTTTCACCCCATGATGTGAAAATGGAGGAGAAAATTTATGATGCACACTGAGATCTGTTTTGCTTTCTGTAAAAGCCCCAGAACTGCCTTTCTATAGAAGATGCAGGTTGTGAAAAATGAGGTCTGTGACATCCAGGCTTGCCTTGCTCCTGCAGACTGAAGGTCTCAGGGTAGAGAGGAAGTTCCCTTTCACAGGGAAGGCAGGGATTCCCTTTCTGTCTTTGTCTCCTATGGAATGTATAAAACAGTGTGAAGTCCCTGAAAGGCTTTGAGCTGTTCCTCTGAAAGAAGCGACAGCACTGCCACTAAAACATCTGAAAAGGAGGAAAACCACAGAATGATACTGTACTTTCCCTACTATTATTTACTGGAAAGTCCAGACCACTGTGACAAAGCCAAGCACAGGTGACAGCATTTGCTGCTCTCCACACAGCAAATGTTGGAGACCAGCATTGCTTCATTTTCTTCCCTGTGAAGGTGGAGAAGGGCTGGGATGAATTCCCAGAGCAGCCCCACCCCTGGGAGTGTCCAAGGCCAGGCTGGAGCAGCCTGGGACAGTGGGAGGTGTCCCTGCCCAGGGCAGGTGTGGCACTGGGTGAGCTCTAAGCTCCCTTCCAACCCAACCCATGCTGTGCTCCTGTTTCCCTGCCCATGTGCACGTTGCCAGCAGGGAGCTGTGGATCACAGCATCCTGAGCTGCTCCCTTCTCCTGCCCAGACACACTGGGAGCCTTGGAAAGGAGAGCACAGACAGATGTACCCTTCCCAAATGTGCACCTGCACCTTGCCAAGGAGGGCTGACACCTTCTGGGGAGCTTGTGAAGGCAACAGGACAAGCTCCAGGTAGCCTGGAGGAGAAGCAGCAGCATCTTAATTATGCCGAAGTGAAACCTGGTTTTATCAAAACTATAAATAATAAATGAGCCATTGGTCTGCATCTGCTGCATGATATTTCTGGAAAGGTTGGTCTCCTTTGCAGAGGGGAAGATGTGCAGAGGTGTTCAGTCCTGCTAAGTCTCATACTTTGACACAAGTTCCCACTTTCAGCAGCACAAAATTAAGTGAAGTTTCCTCCAACTATTTTTCAAAACCCTAATGAAGATTTCTTTGTAATGCTTACTACTGAGGCAAGGAAAAACCAAAGCCAACCTCAGTGTGAGCCTGTTTCTCAGAGATGCTGCTGTGATTCTGTGATTCTGCACCTGCCTCCCCTCAGCAGCAACTCCTGGTGCAGCTTTTCAGGAGTAAATCTCACCTGCTAATAGAGGGTGCCTCCTAAATAACTGTGCCACACGGCAGGCACTGGGGAGGGAACCTGCTTTCCACTCGTCTTTCACCCTGTTGCCCCAGATAATGGATTTAGAAACGACAATCAATATCCAGACAAGGAATCTGGTCCAGTTATTTCCCCTTCCTCCACCCCTCTTTCTTGGAAGGACAAGCTCCTGTCTCTGAGCTTCCCCTCTGCTGCCTG